TAAAAAAATTCAGACAGCTGATAATGAATTAATTTAAGTAATTGCGAAAACACAGAAACTGTTTATGTTGGCAATGTGACAAAATTTACATCAGCAATCAATTTTCCACTCTTAGTTATATATTCCACAAATGCCATCATATTACTAGTAATTTTTAAGGATTCCTTGTCTATTCAAGTCAATGTTTAATATTTACAAACAAGTGAAATTATTTCAGTTGTTGATAGAACACATATTTCTCCCACTGAATGTGCTGCAGAAGATAAGTTTAATTTAATTAGTGTGGTCATTTCATAAAGCGAAGGAGGGAGCCTCTGCTGTTCTCCTTATTTTCTTTTAATATTATTACAGTAGATTTGGGAGAGTAGTGATTGTATACTATGTAAAGTAATACAGCGTTTTTCAACACAAATAGGTGTTTGTGTTGCAAAATGGGTTAGCACTTTGAGGAGTTACTGCAGCAACATTATTGTGTTTGAGAGGTATAGAAAATAGTGTAATAGCTATTGGCGCTAAATAGAAAGTGCAAAAAATGACATTCAATATGTAAGTAAAGGTGCTGCTTGTTACCACTGTGAAACCAATCACACAAGTTTCACAAAAAAAAAATGTAAACACAAAAATAAAAAGGTGAACATCGCACTAAAAATAGTTTTGGTTTGTGACAGCGTACCACAAATAGTGATAAAACTTATAAAATGTAAATGCATCCCTTTTAGAAATTTCTTGGTGGTCACTAAAAAGATAAAACACACAATCTCATAGGGCAATACAGCAGGTAAAATGAAAATATGGTAGGGTAAAAAAGCACTAGAAGTTCCGTGATGTCACCATCTTGGTACACCCGAAGGTGCACCTCATCATATCCGGTTTCCACCGGAACAATTATATCCTTCAACGTAATTTCTGCTACCACCTACCGGACACTCTGGCCATATTGATACACCTGAAGGTGTACCACGTCATTTCCAGTTTCAGCCGGAATAGCTGAATCAGCCATGTCGTCACTGCCTCTTTTGGTTCCGTAGCTTCCGCTGGAAATGCTGTGGCAGCAATCTTGGCCCTCCTTTTGGCTTTTTATTTTGTATATCTCCATTGAAGCAACTATATTAGGACTCCAGAAGCAACTTCCAAATTGACATAGTACAATATTAAAAGAAGATATACACTATATGTCCATCTTGTGTGTAGAGGGAAAAAAAGGGAGGGCAGGGGGTGGGAACAAAAAATAAACAAGTACAGAGAAAAGAGATCATATATATATTCAATATTTAAAAAAATATTTTAAAAAAATTCAAAAATACTCAAATATAATTATACATTTCAAATTCTATATTTAAACCTTCTGGAGAGAGGGTTTGCAATTCAAAAATCCACTTAATTTCTGTCTTATTCAATAATTTCAAATGGTAACCTCCTCTACCTTTCGGCTACCCTTGAAAACAAAAAATACATTGTTGATATATCTTCTATAGAGGACCAAGTTCGCACTCCAGTCATGTCCAGAATAAATATACAACTCTTCCCAATATGCCATAAATAAGTTAGTATTGTGTTTGAGGTTAATAACAACAGCACAGTACTTGCAAAATTGCACAGCACACAATCGACTGAAAAAAGTAAGGAAACCAATAAAAAAATAGTCCTAGTGCCCTCCTTCTGACACTGCCCTGGTTGGGTGGGAACACTAATATTCATAGGCAGAAGGAGGATTTAGTGTCTCATCCTGCCCCAAAAATGGGTGGTGCATGTGGGGCTCTAATTAATTATGCAATTGTGGGTGGACATGGCATGTCCCCCTAACATTATCCCATGTAAAATCAGTGTCCCTACCTACTACCCTCACCATTGTAGATGCGAACATCCATTTTGCTCAATAGCTTAGCTGTTCATATAAGGGTTAATTTGAACCAAGAAGAGATTTGGAATTGTATCTCCAATTCTCAGAAATAAAACTTATCTATTTACGGGAAATGTTATTAGAACATGATTTTGGATATCTACATGACATGACATGATAAGGATTCTGGAATGACCTTGTTAATTGTCCAAGATTTTGTATTTGTAGTCATCTGGGTTTTATCCAATATGCATACATTATGTAACATCGAATTATAATTAAAAACAGCTGTTTATAACTTGTGAAAAACAATGTCATTGTCACGCCCATATGCTCATTTTCCCCCCTCCCATCCTGCTATGAAAATGGGGTATAAATATAACTGACGTATGAATACAATTTGAATTGGTTATTGAACATGTCTCTGCTATTCATTTCCAATTTCCAATTTATCCCCAACAAACTGGTGTCAGAAGTTTTTGGGTGCAATTGGACGGAACGGAGATGACAGGTAAGAGGATCTTTAAAGTCCTTCTTTACCTGCTTCTCCCATCCCCCACACATTGCATTTGTAATGGGGTTTTTCACTATTTAAAATTTTAAAGGGGATTTTCACTGCATAATGTCTTTGGTAGACATGGTATTTATAAGTCTTAGGTAGACTTCTATTACTCCTTTGGTAGGCAGTAGTAGTTATGTGTACATGTCCTCTTTGGTAAGAGGTTCACCTTTGGCCAGGTGTTAAGAAGAATTTCAAGCCTTTGGTAGGCTGTGATGTACTGTGATGTACATTTACATATGGGAGACGTCCCTAGATTCCTCTTTGGTAGAGGTTGCCTTTGGTAGGTTGTAAAACAGATTTCCAGTCTTTGGTGGACTGTGGTATTTATTTAACGTAGATGTTAATTTTGCAGACTAAAATGGTTATTGAAAAAAAAAAAAGGGGGTTAAAAGGTATGATGGATGTTTGGCATTACTCCGGCTTGCTAATTTATATGCTATTTTATGGTGTGCAACGCTGATTTTAAGTATAAAGTCTTAATTGAGGAAATGTAAAAAGTACATGTAAAAGGTGATGAAGAAAAGAAAAAATTAGAGGTTATTTAAGGGGGGCTACAAATTCTATAACTAACATGATTTCTCTGCATGAATGTTTGTTTGCATAATGAGCCCTTATTTTTATACTTGGACAAAAGTACTATAAGCCCACTACACTTTTTCATGAGAGTGGGATGTATGATTGTTTATATGATGAGTCCTTTATTTTCATATTGGGACAAAAAGTCACTTCATTCAAAACGTCAAACACCACATTCTTTCTGCCCTGAGTGTTTGTTGCAGAGAACTTTTGTTGTAAATTTAGATGATTATAAATTAGAGAGCAAAATTTATATTTTCAGCGTTCCAACACATGCTTCATTTTTGTGCTGTAAGCTAACTTGTAGTATTCCAGTATGTCACATGTTGTATGTGCTTTAAATTGTATGTATTCTGTAAATTATTGTATGGGGTTGCTGAGATTTTATTGCTTGTGACCCAAACTGTGAAGAAGTGGGTTTGAAATTTTGCTCATGAAATATAGGATCAGAAAACCATGGACAAAGGTTTTTACCTGTGTTGATATGACTTTTGGAAACTCAAACTGACTGGTCAAAATTTTGCCATGCCTTTAACATGGAGTAGTATAAATATTTTGAGTCTTTGAGAGTTCTGACAAATGCAGGTGATACCATGTCTGTGTAATCTGGTCCAAATGTTCTATAAGCGTATAAGAGAGAAATTCTATTGACAGGGTACATATGTTGCAACTGGTTAATGCAAGTTTTATACAAATGTTTAAGTCAAACGCGTTATATGGCCATACGGGATCCCTTCTTTAAAAAGAAAAAATAAACCCTTTGGTACCAGAAATCTTAAATAAATCTGATACAAACTAAAATTGGTATACCTTACAATAATATGTTCTGAATACAGCTGTTAGAAGTTTATTCTGTGTGAATGATGATTGTTATAAATGTTTGTTTTGGTTACTCATTTTAAAGTATGCAGTTTTAATTGTCACGTATGTTAATGGCTATTTTGCTGTGTTATTTTAAATTATATTTGGATAAGTTTGTCTTAGTATTGATACAGATGGAAATGGCAGCATAATAATCTATTAAATAACTGATTTATTATTGAATACTTGTCCAAGAGCAATATGAGTTGTAGTCTTAAGAAAGAAAAAAAAAAGAGGGAGTCTGTTTTTGTAAATTTTAGCTGATTTCCAAAATTCTGTTGCAATAATGGACTTCCTGCCAAAATTTGACTTTCCTGTCCAGTTGCCAGGTGCTCTGATCTAATCTTAAAGTAGTATTGCTTGCATAGTTTGCAGACATGCATAATGCACAAACATGAGAACCTATATTATCTCTGTCACAGAGTGTGACATTTATTAATTTATTTTGGATTAATATGCTTTTTGTATTGGCATGTCTGCTGGATATCTGCTACATGTTTTCTGTGCTATAAGATGACGTGTGATATTACAATGAGTATGAAGAATATTTAAAGAATATTTGCATGTCATTAACGCAAGCCTTTAGTATCTTTTTACAACAGATTAAAAAACGCTGATCAGCCAACAAGAAAGGGGCCCCTGGGAAAGAAAAAGAAAAAATATATCATTTGCTTTTCAAAATCGTGGATCCATGTTTCAGTATTATTAGGGCAGTATTTAGAGTTAACTCTACTTTTAAAGTGCATTGCATTATTTAAGAAAAATAAAAATTTGTTATCTTTAACATAAACAATTGTTATGTTATATGGTTATATAACAAGATAAATTATGGATGTGTAGGATAGGTTTTTTCAAAAATTAAGATTCATCTAGTATGCCTCATTGATTATAGGAAAATTATGAAATGGTATTTTTAATAGAGATCAGATAATTTATTTTGAGGCAATTCTAAACTACTGTATTATATTTGTATTGGTATATTGAAAGCATTTTGCTGACCCAGAAGAGAATAAATAATATAATAATTATAAAAGGAACCATACTATGGGAAGAGGTCACCCTATGAACCCTATTAAACTCATTTTTGATAAGCATATAAAATTTAGAATTTTTGATACTCAATTTGAACTCAATTGAAGTATTACAACCATATCCTTGCAGGTATAGGAAACAGCTGCAATATGACTTTAATATTTGCAATATATTAGTGTTTTTTCAATGTATTCTGACAATGGAAAAGTTCCTAACCGCATGTCTGCATTACACCTATGACCCAGACTGTCAGTATTGCAAACCCTATATGAAGACTCTGCTTCACTGTTTATGTATACACCCCTAGACAACCGTGCTATACATGCACAATAAATCTTCAAAAGCCTATTAATATTATATCTGTGTGGTACACAAATAGGTGTACACAAAGAGGGGGTGTGAGTTAGGTCATCTCGACCTTCATATGGAATATGCTTCCTCCTTGTTCACTTTTGGTCAAACTGTTGGTCTGTGACTGGCCCTCTTTGACCCCAACTGAATTTCTTGGGAAGATTCATGAGAAAGATACGGCAGGTTGTTTTGATATAAAGAAAGAGGGAAAAGTATGTTGTATCAGTCACAAAAGGATTGTGATCTTAAGCAGGCAAGACAAAGAAATTTTGGAGGTGATAGGAGATTGAATCAGAAAAGTTTCAGAGGCAGAGAATTTGATCAAAGGATCTAACTTTTGTAGAGGTGGTAACTTCAGCACTGTTTTAATTGTGGATAGCAGGGATTCACCCCAAGGTGCTTGTGGTGAACCCGGTTCTCCTGGTCAACCTGGCCCAGCTGGCATTCAAGGACTCCCACCCTGGCAGGTTCCTCAATACCAACCAAAACTTTCAAGCTATACCCACACCCAACAACCTCAGCCTAATACACAGATGGTTCATGTTTTTAATACTTTATATATAGTTTTGATAGATAAAACAGTATTAATGCTGGCTCTTAGAGGATATACAAGCTGAAGTTGGGACCTAGACATTGTTTGCATAGGCTGTGCAATGTGAAATAACTAAAATAAAATAGGATAATAAGTATGCTTAGTCAATTTGTAACGTGGTATCCTAGAGGCATCTGCAATAAAATAAGTGGGTTTCCAAGACCTGACAAGTGAGGGCAACTTAATATAACATATGTCTACAGTTTGCTGTCCCTTCCTTATCAAAGGCCACTTGCAACACAGCAAGACAACTCTTCCGAAACCTGTATTAAACAAAGCACTTTAGAACAATAGTAATTTATTTTGTTTCTCCTATTTCATTCCTAGTTGTTCTGAAAAAAATATATATATTGTTTAAGTGGGATAACTGTATGGAGGTTCCAACATGTATTAAAACATGATCACACACCGACAGAACTGGTGGCTTTTTGGACATCGGGATCTATAAAAGGTTTCGGTTTCCAAAGATGTTATCAGGGTCCACAAAACTGACAGACTTCAGCATTTCAATTTTATTAAAGTAATTAATTGAGATTATCAAATCAAGGTTTAAGTTTAAGAACAAGCATTTTATTGGGAATTATACCAATATGTATATGTTAGTGTTTTAGTACTCAACAAGCATTTATATAGAATGAGTGCTTCTCTCATCCATACAAAGGCATTCTAAAAGGGAAATTATGTATTCAAATTTTATAAAGGACAAATTCAATGAATTATAAGCAAAACTAAGAGAAGTACATGTTACACTAGTTAAGAGTTTAACTTTAGTATCCTATCTGAGTTTAGCCTAGATAATTAATTTATTGATGTCGTACTGATCCTTGTGTTTGTATGATTATAGAGACCGTACTGGAGTATTTGTGCCGCCTGATATTTGGGACTACACACCAATCTCTCTGGCTGACCTACCTGCCTACTTACCTTTTTTGCAATTAAATCTGTTTGGTCAAAATCCATGCTGGCCGAAGAAACTGAGATGCTTACTTATGAGGACATAAACTAACTTGGAAAGTCCTGAAGATGCAGTGCTGTCTAATGCCGCTATTTCTGTATTACCCTTTCAACAATTGGGGTGTTGCACAGAGTATTGTGGTGAACATCCAGCAAACAGAAGAATTAAGAACTATGTGGAAGCTGACATTGTCTTGTTGTCAGCCATATTGCTACCCTTAGCTATGTTATGGTGTCTAAGATTATAGAACAAAGTTTATGGTGTCTAAGATTCTTTATACTCCTTGAAAGACTTATAATATTTTTCTGGACTATGCTGGACTATTGAACTATTTTGTTATTTTTATTTTTGTAGAGTTAGCCGGAGAGAGAGGAAGTGTTAGCTTACTCAGGCATGGATGTACTATGTGTGTCATTGATGTATGTTGAGTGTACCAAGGATGGATTCCCATGTATTAAGTGTGGATATGACTGGACCATCGAAATAGGGATTTGATTAGGAGGCATAGGATGCAAGGTCATGATTTGGATTATTGCTAGAATTGCAAACTGATTAGAAATGATCTTATGATTTAATATGTAAATGGGCCTTTTGAAACTAATCAAGAAGTGTTTCCCAATCCCGATACCTGAGCTATTTACTTACAAGTGCAGGTTTTATAAGTCACTAATGCTGTCAACGTGAGGGGATGACATGTCTACACAGTCATGGCCCTCACTTAGAATTTACCCAGATGTGCTTTTTTCCTCAATTATGAGTTTTTGCCACTGGGTTTTTTGACCTGGCCCAAGTTCACTGGGTGGACTGGTCCAAAGAGGGGAAATAGATTTTATTCCCATTTTTGATTATATGTGTTTACGTTGTGAATTATAATAATAATATTCTCGTTGTTGGGAATAATACACTTTGCCTGTTTTGATCCAAGGCTCAAGTTGCAGATAACATGATGTGCAGTCTGTTTAAAATTGGTTAAGATGTTAGCTGTTTGAAATTTTTAACTTGTATACTTAAAAGATGTGTACAACAGATGATTACAGAAGCTGAAAATCGACAGCTCGATCTCCTCTTAAAGGGAAAACCTACGGCACAGAGCAAATGGGGGAAATCGAGGTGAAGAAATAAAGAAAGTCCCGCAGACGTGATTAGCACGTCTGAATATACCTCCTTTCGTTTCTCTGCCGCAGGCCTCCCATGGATATTCCGTAAGGTAGATCATGATATGATCTAAGAGGGGAATTGTAGATGCGAACATCCATTTTGCTCAATAGCTTAGCTGTTCATATAAGGGTTAATTTGAACCAAGAATAGATTTGGAATTGTATCTCCAATTCTCGGAAATAAAACTTATCTATTTACGGGAAATGTTATTGGAACATGATTTTGGATATCTACATGACATGACATGACATGAAGGATTCTGGAATGACCTTGTTAATTGTCCAAGATTTTGTATTTGTAGTCATCTGGGTTTTATCCAATATGCATACATTATGTAACATCGAATTATAACTAAAAACAGCTGTTTATAACTTGTGAAAAACAATGTCATTGTCACGCCCATATGCTCATTTTTCCCCCTCCCATCCTGCTATGAAAATGGGGTATAAATATAACTGACGTATGAATACAATTTGAATTGGTTATTGAACATGTCTCTGCTATTCATTTCCAATTTCCAGAGCTCTGTATGAGTTGGCAAATATCCATCATCCACAAAGGGCCCGGGCTGATTTTATCCCCAACAACCATATTAATAGTTTGATAAGGACAATTAAACTAATACCTGTTAAAACGAAACAATATATATATATATATATATATATATATATATACAGTTGTGCTCAAAAGTTTGCATACCCTTGGAGAATTGGTTATATATGTTCTTATGGGATTCATATTCAACTGTAGGTTATAACAGAATAGCACAATCATAAAACAAAACATGGAACAAAGAAAAAAAATGAACTGACCCCTGTTCAAAAGTCTGCATACCTCAGTTCTTAATATTGTATATTGCCACCTTTAGCATCAATGACAGTGTGCAGTCTTTTGTAATAGTTGTCTATGAGGCCCCTAATTCTTGCAGGTGATATAGATGCCCATTTGTCTTGGCAAAATGCCTTCAGGTCATGCAAAGTCTTTGGTCATCTTGCATGAACAGCACGTTTGAGATATCCCCAGACTGGCTCAATGATATTAAGGTCAGGAGACTGTGATGACTACTCCAGCCCCTTCACCCTGTTCTGCTGTAACCACTGGAGGGTCAACTTGGCCTTGTGCATGCATTCATTTTGCCATCAATTTTCACAATATACCTTTAGAGCTCACCCCCCCCCAAAACATCAATGAGCCACCACCATGCTTCACAATGGGGAATGTTATTCTTTTCACTATAGGCCTTGCTGACCCCTCAAGTGCTTATGATTGTGTCTGTAAAGCTTTATTTTGGTCTTGTTACTCCAAATTACAGTTGCCAGAACCTGAGGGCCATGTCAAGGTGTCGTCAGGCATATTGTAACCAGGCTTTTTTGTGGCATTGGTGAAGTAAAGGCTTTCTGGCAACTCCACCATGCAGCTCATTTTTGTTCATATATCATCATATTGTGCTCCTTGAAACAACCACACCTTCTTTTTCCAGAGCAGCCTGTATTTCTCCTGAGATTACCTGTGGGTTTTTCTTTGTATCCTGAACAATTCTTCTGGCAGTTGATGATGAAATCTTTCTTGGTCTGCCTGGCCTTGGCTTGGTATCAAGAAATCCCTGGATTGTCCACTTCTTAATAAGTCATTGAATAGTACTGACTGGCATTTTCAAGGCTTTGGATATCTTTTTATATTCTTTACATCCTTATAAAGTTCCATTACCTTGTTACACAGGTCTTTTGACAGTTCTTTTTTGCTCCCCACTGCTCATTATCTAGTATGCTCAGTGCATTCACATGAGAGCCATCAAACTCATTGACTATTTAAACACAGACACTATTTGCAATTTTAAAAGCCACAGGTTTGGGAAATTTGGCTGTTGATAGTACATGTCTGACCCATTTGACTTGGATAGAGTAAGGTGTAAGCAGTTTATCTGTCCAACACCTTCATCTGAATGTTTTAGATTTGACAATCTTTGATTATATTTATTTGTACATATTTAGATTTATACCAAGTGACGTCATGGCACCGTCTCACGCGGTGTCATGATATCACGTAACGGTTACATTGTGCGTGCAGTCCAGCCTGGGCATCCTCGGAGCAACAAGAACATTGGTGGAGTGAGTTAATGTAATTTCTGTACTTTGGTATTTATTGATGTATGTTTACACTGTATGCTTATCCTGATGAAAGTCTACTGGGGCAGACTGAAATGTAGATTTTTTATGTGAAGCAATAAAAGCTAAGTTTTAATACGCTAGACAAAGTCCCTGGAGTGCTACCTATTTTTCCTTTGTATTCAATTACAGACAAGCACCAGGCATGAAAATTTTGAGAAATTGAAGAGGGCAGGATTATTTGGAGATATATATATATATATATATATATATATATATATATTTATTTATTTGT